GGCGGTCACATTTTTTTTTTAAAGTACTTTCGAATCATAGTGTTGGCGGTCACATTCAATAGAGTTTTCCCGGTCCTCAAATAGTATTAGTATATACTGAAGTTTCACCGCATATAAATAAAAATGTGTCTTATATTTAAATCTAGTTAGTTCTAAAATTTTAGGATTAATTAATATTAATGGGAAAAATAAAAATAAAAATGTAGAAATTTTACAAAACTCAAACTGCTCACTAATTTGGAACGTGAAAGACATCAAAAAATATATGAAACTATTTTAATTTTATTAAAAAAAAAAAAACAATATTGTTAGGTTTCCTCTACTTTTTAAACAGCATATCAATCAAAGCTCATTATAGTGAATCTCGTTATAGTGGATTTTGCTTATAGTGGACTTCTTAATAAAATCTCTTGTGGTTGCTCAAATTCAAGTTAAAAACTGTCCTTGATTGAAAGTCAAAAAGTAATTTGAGCAAGATTGAGAAACATTCATTAATAATGCAAACTCAATGAGACTTTAAGTTTATATGCAAATTAACTTTAAAAAACATGTGTACTTAATGCACCAATCCCGGTTTGGTTAATAAAATTTTGAACTGCATAAGATGTAACATTTCCAATTATTAAAATGATCGTCATGTGGTTGGATATTTATGGTAGATAAATTAAATTCATCCAATGTCAAAGAAAACAATTTTCCTTTAGGTGAAAGTCAAAGAAAATATCTGGTTTTTGATATCTTATTGATGATACTCCAATGATAATAAAAAAAGCAGCTACAGTATTACTGATAAAAATAAGATTTGCATTCTTCCTGATTACAAACATAATCACAGCACTATCATATTAAAACTACTGACTCTGACTTAAAAGATGAAGGTTTTGCCAAAGCTGCTGATGAATATAAAAACAATATTTCAAAGAATAAAGAAAATTATGGTGATAAATCTATTTGATGATGAATAGCAGGTATAGCTTTTTTAGGGTTTATAATTGTTATGATTTATGTTTCAAAGGAATTAAAAGGAAAAAAATAAATCAATATTGTAATAATAATAAGATTATTTTCCTTCTAAGGATTTTTGTTTTTTGTTAGGCAATAGCACACTTTCATCCTGCTTTCTTTTCTTAATGTTTATTAATTTCCTCTCTTCATGGTAAATTTCATAAGTAATTCTTTCTTTTTTTTTAGATAAATTTCCAGTTCCTTTCAGAGTATTATTTATTTTGAAAACATAAGGTGCAATTTTCTCACCTTGTTCCTTTTTCAAAATATCTCTGATTGTACTATAATTCTTTGGTTCCATAGTAAATCTGATGTAAATTAGCTTCATATTAATTATTTTTGTCTAGACAAATACACAGGTAATACAATTGTGATGTTAAACAAACCTGAAATTTTTGGTAAATACCAATGTTCACTTTGTTTGGTTTTGTCCCACATAATTTATTTAAACATATTAACTGGGTTATAATGAGACTATTCTATTTTTTTAATAATAGATTTAATAGCAACTAAAACAAAAAAAAAGATTTTCAAAAGGCAGCAAAGTATCATGTTAACTTGTTTGCCACATATGTAAATTGATCAACAACAAAGGAGTTCCATATTCAATTTCCAAATTTGGTAATGATACTGACTGAATCGCATCAGTAGATTTCCTGCACAAATTTTTATTCACACAAATTCTGTGTAATGTGATATGCCCTCTCAATTTTCCAAATTGAGAAAGAACAAAAGATTCATTCATTAGAGATGAAAATTTTAGAAACAAGACATAAACTAATAACTATGTTGCAAAGATTCTTTCTAAAATAAAAATAAACTCTAAAACTTTGACCCAAATTCTTGTAAAAAAAAAATCACTAAAATTTCAATTGTCAGTCAATTTTTCACTATGTTCATGCTATTGTCACCAAGAATTTAAAGAACAGGAAGTGAAATGGGATAGCCAGGATTGGTTGTGAATCTAAATTGTCAGCAGTCTATTTAAAATACAAATTAAGTAACTGGAAAAATAACTGCAGTTAACTGGTTAGAAAATCTGAGTGGTAAATGTGCTAATTTCTAAGTTTTTGAGCTTTTTATATTTACATATATGATTGGTTGATTGATTGATTCAATACTGAAGATGTTAAAAAAGGAAAAATGATGAAATCAACTTTTAATTTAACTACAAGTTAGGTCCCAGCCCTAGATAATTCAATCTTATAGATAAATTATCTGCTTTGTAAGTTCAATATTTATGTCACCTGCTTCTCTTAATTAATTTATTGGAATTGAGAGGTTGTAACATTCATCAAAATCACAGGTAACTTTTACTTTTCAGCCTGATTAAATAACAGAGTTTTCAGTTCTTGTATATCTTCTTAAACAATTCTTTTCCATTTTTGTGATATGTACAGTATATTCCTTCATATGAATTTATCCAAGTAGTGACACAAGGAGAATCTAGGCTATTGGAAAAATTTTCTGAGAAACAGCAGCAATGGATTGATTATATAGTATTGGTATTAGGAAAAAGAAATGTTAGCAATGAAGAATTTAATAACCCTGATATTGCAGTTTAGTATTAAAGATGAGAATTGCAATTAGCCACAATTCAATTTTTATATGCTGCAATTAAATGAGGAGCCATCTTTATTTAGGGGAAAATGAGTGACCCACTGCAAGAAGACATTGCAAATGCATTTTGTGTTCTTTAGAAGAAAAACTTGCATACAAGAAGGCAGGATGTAAATTAAGAAGAGTATAAAAGATACCAATAGGTATATGCAAATTGAATGAATGAATATATGATTGAACAATGAGCTTCAAGTTATCCTTTATTTTATCTCTGTTTCCATATCTAGAAACACATTTTTTCAACTGGCTCTCTGAATATTCAGTGGATACACAAAATAAGCAAAATCAAGTATAGTGCAAGTCACTTAGTCCCACAACTTTCTGCGCCACACCGCCAATTTTGAGAAAAATTCCCAATCAAAAATGCAATAAAAATTTTATGGTCACATGATTTTTGTTTGTTCTTTCGAT